AGGCTCAACCACAGCTGTTCCACCAGCTGACTTAAGGATCACCATCTCCTGCCTGCATTTCTGCTGCCCCTTATAATGTGGCACCTGCTTCTTTTGCTCTAACATCTTCTGAATAATGATCATGGTAAAGGATGGTCCCATCAGGCCACACCCTACTTGAATCCAGCCTGGACATTCTCAAACTACACTGCGTGGCCAGATTATTATGACCACCTGATGTTTGTAGGCAAATTAGCCGTAAACTTCATCATATGGGATATGGAAGCCGAAGGTCTGTTCGAACACCTTTGCTGTCTGCAGTTACCAAGATAAAACATCTCCAATTCGCACAGGAACACAAGGATTGGACAAAAGTCATGTGGTCCGATGAATCACATTTCCAGTTGCATCATGCAGATGGCAGAGTGAGAATTTGGTGGAAACAGCATTAAAGCATGCACCCCACATGCATGAGTACAACCCTTCAAGCTGGTGGGGGCAGTGTTATGGTTGGGGCATGTTTTCCTGGCATGATTTGGGCCCTTTAATTCATGTACAATGTCTGAATAGCACAACATACCTAAGTATCATTGCTGATCAAGTTCATCCTATCATGTTGATGGCGTATCCCAATGGAGATGGCTTCTTCCAACAAGACAATGTGCCAAGCCACGGTGCTTGTATTGTGCAGGAGTGGTTCCAAGAACATGAGGGAGACTTTACCTTGCTTAGGTGGCCCCCACAATCACCAGATCTCAATCCAATTGAGCATTTGTAGGACGAAGTTAAAAGAGCCATCAGGCAGCTGGTTCCACAACCATCAAATTTCACACAACTGGACAGTGCTATTCATCAGGCATGGTGTCAGATTCCTCACATCACCTTTCAACATCTTGTGGAGTCAATGCCAAGAAGAATTGCTGCAATGAATATATATATATATATATATATATATATATATATATATATATATATATATATAATCATTGACTTCAGAAAGGAAGGGAGAGGGAGATAGAACATCAATGATGAGAGAGAATCATGGATCGGCTGCCTCTTGCATGCCCCCTACTGAGGATGGAGACTGCAAACCAGACACATGCCCTGACTCAGAATCAAACTGTGACCTCCTGGTTCATAGGTTGACACTCAACCACTGAGCCACACCACTCGGGCTTGCACTATTCTTGTTCCAAGGAGACCAAACTCCTGCTTCATGGCCTTTGCATGAACTGTTCCTTCTGCTGACATGCTCTTTCCGCATACCTCTGTTGTGCTCTCCATCTACCTGCTCTGTGCTCAAATACCACCTCCTCATGGAGGTCCTACCTGACTGCCATGGCAGGCTCCTCCTTACCATTTTATTTTATTTATTTTTATGGCATCTATCAACAATGGCATTATATTGAAGGGTCATTTATTTACTATCAGATTCCCCTTCCAGATGCCAGGATCATCTGTCCATCGTGGTCTCCCCAAGGATGGAATAATCGGTGGCACACAGCAAGCATTTTATAAAAACATACACAATCAGCAGCAGTAATATAAACCAAATACACATTGGCTGGTGGGCCTTCAGCAGGGTTTAGAGCAGGGTTTCCCTGCTGGTGCTTCACCTGTGACAAATAACACAATCCCATTTGTTGCAGAGGAAAGCACCTTCCCATGGCACTCAGTGCCCCCGTCCCGTCCCCACTCTGACAACAGCACTCCCCTTGTTCACTGGCCACCATCATGTCTGTTTTCTGGATGAGGAAACTAAAGCACAGAAAGGTTAAGTTGGCCTGAAATCAGCTAGTGAGGAGTCGGGGAGGCAGGATTTAACTCTGGTGCTCTGACTCTTAAACCCTGTGCTTAGCAAAATACAAGAGAAATGCAAGTTCTGAGATAAGATGGGTCAACAATTTGCAGGGAGGTATCTGTTCAGGGAAGGAGCTGGGCTGGGCTGTGGGGATGGACCTGCTGCTGTGTGCTAGCAATCTCTGGGCTCTGCATTTTACCTGCTTTAGGGCTCTAGGCAGAAAGAGGAGCACAAATTCCCAACACTCAACAGCTGGTTCCCCAGCCAGTCACAGAACTGGGAGCTCCTGCAGAGGGTCTGGACCTCCAGAGCAGTGCCACAGGCTGGGCTGTTTGCTAAAGCACCTAAGTCCAGCCTACCTCACTGGTCCTTGGTTCCTCCCATGGGGAGCCTCTCCTCTACTCCATGCCACAATGGTGCTGCTGGTGTTCATGGGGGGGGGCGGGGGGGGGGGCGGTTACCACTGAGTTCAGTGAGGCTAAAGAGGGGTGGCTCCCATTGGTATCTGTAGGCTCCAGATGAGATCTCTGGGTGATCCTGCCAGTATCTGACATTTGGGGGAATACAATCACTGTTCACTAAAAAGAGCTTCAATCCTTTGCTTTGTTCATTTCCTGCTGATGTCAGAGTCCAGGCATTTGACAAATGTGGCTACCAGTAACTTCCACTAGTCAGGAGTGATAATTTGTAATTTAAAGGAAGAAACAGGAGACACCAGGCCATGGATTGATAAGACATGCAGGGCAAGGGTCTGATGTCTTGGCCCACTCATCTCCTCCCCATTTAGCCAGGCCGTTTTCTTTGAGGGAACTGGTTTGTTCTGCTTGCCCTTGAAACAGAGTCTGACAGATGCCCTAGCCGTTTGCTCAGTGGCTAGACTAGAGTCTGGGCCTTCGGACTGAAGGGTCCCGGGTTCCATTCAGGTCAAGGGCACATGCCAGGGTTGCTGGCTCCATACCCAGTGGGGGCGTGCAGGAGGCAGCTGATCACTGATTCTTTCTCATCATTGATGTTTCTCTCTCTCTCTCCCTCTCCCTTCCTCTCTGAAATCAATAAAAATATATGGAAGGAAGGAAGGAAGGAAGGAAGGAAGGAAGGAAGGAAGGAAGGAAGGAAGGAAGGAAGGAAGGAAGGAAGGAAGGGAGGAAGGAAGGGTGTCTGACAGAAAGCAGAGGTGTCTGCAGTCGGGCGACTCTCTGGTACATGGAGACTTTTCTCTGCCTTCTGTTCCGTGGGAGAGTTTAACTTCAATGCGGGGTTTATGGAGGAGAGGTTTGAGGGGACCTGAGGCACTCTTTCTCTCAAACTCCGGAATCTAAAGATTAAGGATGACCCAGGAAAACCCCTCCTGACTCGGACTATGTTCAGCATAGGGTAGTGTTTGGGGGATCCGAAGGCCCTAATTCCTGCTGGCCCTTCACTGCCACTTAACTTCCAAAGCCTTCTAACCTTTCCCTGTGCCTCTGGCTCAGTGTGAACCAAGAGCACCAAGCTTCCCCCACCAACCGCTGTGGGGGTGGGAGATTCATCGGGGCCCTCTGCGCACTCCCCAGCCTTGTCCTCACGCTCAGAAAGGCCATGCAGCGGGCAACCTTCCTTAAATTGAAACTCCGCAAAACTGTTTCACCCCAAGAAAGCGCAAACTGACACCTGGACCTTCCAAGGTTATGCGGAGGAGGCGATGGGGTGGGGAGTGGCGGGGGCAGGGGGGGGGGCGGGGGTGTCTGCGTCTCTCTCGACCTTCTGGCCTCTTCAGCGGCTGCAGCTGGCTGAGAGAAAGGGTTTTGCCATCCGGGGGCGGTCACAAGGATTCCTAAATGGAACGGCTTCCTTTTCCCATTCCAGCCTTCAGCATGGCCCCCATCTGCCCTTCCGGGAATCCTCTAGTCCGGGGGCCGGGGAGTGGGGAGAACAGCCGAAAGGATAGCCCAGGCACCTTCCCGCCCCGCGCGCCCTCGTGCCGACTGTGTCCTCGGCCACCGTCTGCGGGCGCCGTCCCCTCTGCGCCCCCGGGCCGCGAGGAGGCCGGCCCTGGCGACGGGGCCCACGTCCCGGCGGCGCCGAGGCCGGGACGCGCGAGGAGAGGGGCGGGGCGGGGCGGCGCGCGGGCCGGGCTGGGGGTGTCGGATGTCACCCCTGCGCACACCTCGGCCTGGGGGGGGCGGGGGGCGGGGAGCGAACCACTGAGACGCCGAGACCTCCGCCGTCCTAGAGTGGAGCAGGAAGTGTCCCAGGGGAGGGAGCAGGAGGGTCCGGCCTTTCCTTTCCTCCGCGTCCGGCGGGCTCCAGCGGCGGCCAAGCCTGCGCGGCCGGCTAGCGGGGACGCGTCCCGGCGGTGAGTGCGGCCGGGCCCCTACGGCCCGCGCGGCGCCCCCCCGCCGCCTCTCCCAGCCCCAAGCACCCCGGACTCGCGGCCCCGCGGCTCCGGACCGACCCCGCGCGCCCGTCGGCCTCGCTCGTCCCCCATCGCGGAGCCAGTCGGGGCTCTGCGGGCGGGGAGATAATGCGATTTCGGGGTCCTGCATTTCTTTCTATTCTTCCCTCCCAGGTGGAGTGGTGGATTTCTGGATGAGCTGGAGACGTGGCTTGGCTGGCCAGGGACGGAGTCGGGCCCAGCAGAGAGCCCGCCTCGGGAAGGACACCGGGAGGCGGGCTGGGAAGGATGAGGAACGGCTGTGGAGACTAACGCCGCGGCAGGAGCCATTTGAGTTAGACGCCGGGAAGGAGTTCTAGACGTTGTGAGGTGAGGAGCCGGGAGCTGGCTACTCCGGAGACGCGCGCGCGGGGTGTGCGTGCGCGCGCTGGGAGGGAAGCGGGAGAGGGAGAGCGAGGAAAAGCTCTCTCTTCCCCTGGCCTAAAATGCCCTCCCTTTCCTTCTGCTGATCCCGCGCTGTCCCTCCTCCATCAGCTGCTTTAAGCCCCGCCCTGCTCCACGGGAATCCCATGTTCGTTCATTCATCTGGCATCACTCCCGAGCCTCCTACCACTGGGTGACAAAGAGGAGCGCCACTGTCTGATGAGGGCTGGTTCCCAGCGCACACTGAGTGCTGAGGGTGGGGCCTGGGTACCCTAGGTTGGAGCCGACCTGGGAACCCAGAGGCCCTGCCCTTGTGTGGTGGCTGAGCTCAGGGACTTTAGGGGGCTGGTTCCAAATGCAGGAGCAGGCACTGAGGGAAGGTTGCCATGGGCAGGCTCTAAGGTGCCCAGCCAGACTTCTTGAGTCCTTTTCTGCTAGTCTGTTTTCCATTGGAAAGCAGAGCAGTCCAGACACTGGGTTTTTCTAACTGCTATTCCGTGGCTTTGTGGTCCTTCTGGTCTGGGTATGGAAGTCCAGTGACTACCCAGTGATCTCACGGCCTGAGAGAAGGGGAGGGACTTTCTCTGGGCCCCATAGTCTCTGAGTAGTGGCGTTTACTCCATTTTTTTATTATTTATTTTAGCGATAGAGGAAGGGAGAGCTAGAGAGAAATATTGATGAGAGAAAAACATCTATCTGATGCCTCCTGCACACCCCCTGCTGGGGATCCAGCCTGACCTGGGAATGAACCTCCTGGTTCATTGGTTGATGCTCAGCCATTGAGGACACCGGCCAGGCAGTACTGGTATTTATTACTTTTCTCCTGAAAACTGAGGTGTGGCTGTCACTTTTAACTGTCCCCCTTTTTTTGTTGTTTTTGACTGTCCCATTTTTTGTTGCTTTTTTAATCCTCATCTGAGGATATGTTTTTATTAATTGATTTGAGAAAGAGAGGAAGAAAGAAACATTGGTGTGAGAGAGAAACATGGATCAGTTGCCTCTCATACAAACCCCAACTGGGGATTGAACCTGCCACCCTTTGGTGTACGGGACAACGCTCCAACCTACACAGCTGCACTGGCCAGGGCTTGTCTGGGTATCTTCTCGGCAATGTGCTTCACCCTTGTCTCCCAATGCAGACTCTATGGGTCAGAGCTGGTTCTGGCTGTGTGGATCCAGCAGTCTAGATAAACCAGTAGTCTGCCCTGGCCATTAGCAGTGTGGGTTTCCCTTCCTCAACATGCCTTCATGGTTCTTATCTGGAACATCTGTCTTTGTCTTTCCAACTCATGTTGTAAAGGTCTCAAGGGCAGGAACGGTGACTTTGGCTCAGAAATCCCAAGATAGCAGCCTGCTTAGCTCGGCCCTCTTGGGTTTTCTCCAGGAGGATCTGGCCACTGAAGGTACCACAGAGTCTTAATTCCTTCTCTCTCCTGCATGTAGCCCTGTCATTGTCCTGGGATGCTCGGAATGTCTTTGTCACATTGAAAGGACACTGCTTTTCTCCCGGACTCCCTACCTTGTTTGTCAGGTTGACCAATTAGGGGGACCATGCAATGATGCTGTTGGGGGTGGCAGTTCCCTCTCTCCATTTGTATAAGGACCAGTCACACTGACACTTCTCACATGTCCCAGGGCTTCTCCCAAGGGCTGGTCCTTGGGCCTTGTCACTTTCCCCATCACCACCCTCCACACCTACTTATAAGAGACCAGAGTATTGAAGCCAGTGATTTCTGTTTGGAAATAGGGTCGTCTTCTGCTGCTGACCCCCATCAAATCCCATCATGCCCACAGCCCTGTGTCCCCGAGTCTTGGCTCCGAAGGAAAGTGAGGAGCCCAGGAAAATGAGGAGCCCACCGGGAGAGAGCCCTGGACCCCAGGGCGAGCCTCCCAGCCCCGAATCTTCCCGACGCCTCTTCCGCCGGTTCCGCTACCAGGAGGCGGCGGGCCCCCGTGAGGCTCTACAGCGCCTCTGGGACCTGTGCCGGGGCTGGCTGTGCCCCGAGCGGCACAGCAAGGAGCAGATCCTGGAGTTGCTGGTGCTGGAGCAATTCCTAGCCATCCTGCCTCGTGAGATCCAGGGCTGGGTGCGTGCCCAGGAGCCGGAGAGCGGAGAGCAGGCTGTGGCTGCTGTGGAGGCACTAGAAAGGGAGCCAGGGAGACCCTGGCAGTGGGTGAGTGGAGCAGCTGCTCTGGGCTGGCTGGAGGTTGGGAGGAGAAGAGGGTAAGAGCCTCCACACACACACACACACACACACACACACACACACACTTTCCCCGTCCCCTGGCAGAGATGAGGAATTCTCTCCAGAGCTCTTGCTTTGGTGAAGTACACATGAGTGTTGGTTTCTCAGTAGAGCAGATTATATCCCCTAAAGGCTCTAACTAGGAAGTTAAGTCCTTCCCCTTTACAGCCCTGTCCAAGGCCTGGGCTGAGCCTCCAGTGATCAGCTGTGGAGGTGATGGTCAGTAGGCCAAGGGAGGGAGTTTGCACAGCCTCTGGCCCTTGCTGGCGAGGGACCTCTCTGTGAGTCCTGAAAAGCTCTTTCTGGGATTGCAGCTCAAGCACTGTGAGGACCCCGTGGTGATTGACGATGGGGATGGCCCTCTGGACCAGGACCAGGAGCGGCTGCCAGCAGAGGCCCAGAGCCACCTTGCAAAGAGCCAGGAAGCCCAGCCAGTGGCCCTGCCCCAGGGCCCTGGGCTCCCAAGCAGACTGCCAGGCCAGCTCAGCGGGGACCCAGGTAGGGAGTCTGGGGCGGGGGGGCAGGCCGGCCTTTGTACCCCACCTTGTGCCTTAGAGGTGGCTCTTGACCTCAGTAGTTCTCTCTTATCCCCTGAGGAGCCATAAACAACTTTCAAGGTCTGAGTTCCTCCCTAGAGTGATTGAATCAGAATTTCCTGAGGGTGTCTGTTCTTTTCATGGTGCCCCATTCATTCAGAGGGACCTCTGTCTCCCAGTGCAGACTCTGTTGTAAGGGGCTGTCTTTGAAGCTGCACCATCTTCTCTCTGTGAGGGTGCATTTCTGGGCTTTGTCATTTTGTGGGGACAGCTGGGCACTATTGGCTGTCCCAGTAGGGCTGTGTCAGGAGCCGAGTGTGGCCATATCCACTTGTCTCCCTGAACCTCTCTTTCCCAGCAAAACAGCCCCTGATCTCAGGCTTGTTATGATGCTGCAAGGAAATACAGAAATAAATCGTAGAGGGAACAGGTTGATGTCTCAGGGTTTGGGGCTTGAATGTCACCTAGCCATGTCTAAATATCTGTACAAAATGTGCTGGTGGCTTCAGGCAGGTGGTTTTGGCACCAGGTATACTTGATGTTGAATCCTTTCGCTATAACCCAGGCCAGCTTCTAAACTCTGCAAGCCTCAGTTTACTGGTCCATCCAAAGGAGGTAATCATTATTCTTATTGAGTTTCTTGAGGATTAAAGGATTATATCCATAAAATGCTAAGCAGTCATGATTATCAGTTGAAGTAATGCTATGGGGAGATGTGCTGCCCTGTGGTTAAGTGACCTCTGTGGTTTGAGGGTTGTTTTGGGCAGACTTGCTACATTGTGCTGTAGATAACAGATGAAAGGAGGGAGGGTGCCAGAAGAGAGAGTATTCTTGAGATTCACAGTCGTCCTTAACATTGTCATAAGTTTTTCAGTTAAAAAAAGCATATTAAATTTCTTTATGGGTTAAACTATATTGACTTCTGTATAAATCAAACTCTTCAGCCTGCCCTTGGTTGAAAGTCCAGATAGTTTTTTAGGGATGTCTGAACAAAGTCCCACAGACAGGACAGCTTAAACAACAGACATTTACTTTCTTCCAGTTCTGGAGGCTGGAAGATCCAGACCAGGTGTCAGGAGGGCTGGTCCTTCTGAGACCTCTCTCCTTGGTGTGTGAATGGCCATCATCTACCTGTGTCCTCATGTGTTTGTCCCTTTATGTGTGTCTTAATCTCTTTTTAAAATAAAATTTACCATTTTAACTATTTAAAAAAATTTTTTAATTGATCTTAGTGAGAGGAAGGGTGAGGGGGAGAGAAACATCAATGTGAGAGAGAAACATTGATTGGTTGCCTTCTGCATGCCCTCTACTTGGGATTGAGCCTGCAACCCGGGCATGTGCCCTGACTAGGAATCAAACCCACCACCTTTTTTTTTTCTTCTTTAAATATTTTTTTATTGATTTCAGAGAGAGAGAGGGAGAGATAGAAACATCAATGATGAGAATCATTGATTGGCTGCCACGCCCCCTACTGGGGATCAAACCCACAACCCTAGCATGTGCCCTAACAGGGAATCGAACTATGATCTCCTGGTTCATGGGTTGATGCTCAACCACTGAACCACACCAGCCGTCAAACCTGCCACTTTTTGGTGTACCAGCCAGGGCTTAATCTCTTCTTAAAAGGACATCAGTCATACTGGGTTAGGGCCATCCTAAAAATTTTGTTAACTTAATTACCTCTTGAAAGATCCCCATCTCCAAATACAGTCACATTTTATGGTCTTAGGGGCTGGGACTTCAACATATGAATTTGGTGGGGACATAATTTAGTCTAACGACAAGCTGAAGGGAAGCAACCATTGGTCCAAATAAACACTGCATGTGCAGGCAGCTTGTGATATGCAGGTTGTGGGTAGCAAGAATGCCCTCAGAAGTAGCTGCCCCAGCCTAAGCTGGTGCTTCTTGAGGAAGTTCAGAGATAAGCCAGTTACCACTGATAGGATTCTGGTCCAAAGACTCAGCTCCTCCATTTACCCTGAGCAATAATGAGTGGACAGAGGAGCCATGATGAGTTTGTTACTAGGAAGACCTTAAAGACTTAAAGTGATTTGTTGTTGGGATGAGCCGCCAGTAAAAACCTTGTAGTTTCTAATCTTGAAAATCTTCCCAAAACGCTAAATCTGACTTAAAGGGTAAAGCTTTCACAATGATTTGTAAAAGTGTCTGTGTACTCATGTCCCATGGAAAAGGTAGGGAGAGGCTGTCATTCACCCCCCAGAAGGTGGCAGGTGTGAGAGAGCAGAATGAACTCGCCCCTCACATCCACACCCACCCTGCTTGAGCTTTCCCCAGCAGAGTGAGAAGGTTGCCTCCCTCAGGGACCCCCAGTGTCACTGCTGGCTAAGTTGTCTCTTGTTCTGCCTCCTGTTTGGACCCTTGTTCTAAATAGTTACACCTTTCCCGTCTGCATCTTGGTGAGAGATGCTGGCTTCTGTGTTAGCTTTGAGGCTGATTTAACATGTGACCAGGATCAACCTTCAAAAGACCAAGAAACGATAGTGCAGCTTTCCAAGTCTTATTCTGTGAAAGGAGCACCTTTTGAAACAACTTATTTTCACATGGCTGCACCCTGGGCAAGGTATGTGGCTCACTGCTTACAGAAGCCTGAGCAAGGTGTAGTTAGTTGCCCGTCAGGGAGAGAAGTCTGTTGGAATAGCAACCCCTTACTCCAGGCCTCAAGGTCAGGCTAAGGGAGGTGGTCCCAGTTCTATACTCTGCACTTTCTAGTGGACTTCAACAAGTGCTTCTTCTGGGAGGGTAAGAGGGGGAATAACAGGGACACAGTGTTCTGGAGTTTACAGTTTATAAACTTCCAGGTGTATACATTTCTATGACCCTGGAGCCCCATAGTAATTTTCATTGCTGGCAGCTCTTACTGATGTCTTGACTCAGAGCTCTAACCTCTATTTTCCCCATATTTCGGATCATGAAGTTGAAGCCTCTGCATCTTTGGGAAGTTACATTGCGACTTGGTGGCAGGGCCAACTCAAGCCCAGGCATTCCCTGTTAAAGTCTCCCTTGTTGTGTTTGAAAGCAAAGTTTGCCCAAAGTTTTTTATCTGCATTATCTTGTCCTCCCAGGTAAGAAAAGAGACCCAGGGTTATGAGACACCCTTTTCTCATCTCTTTCAGTTCCTCAGGACCCATCCCTCCTTCAGGAAGTGAGCATGAGGGATGGACAGCAGATGACCTCTCTCCAGCTGCCCCTGGTGAGTGACTTCTGTAAGAACCCTTGAAAACCCCACTTTGCCTCTCTGTCAGCTACAGGGAAGCTTTGCCAAGATCCTGGCCAGCTTTCTCTCTGCCACACAGGCTGTTCAACCCCCGTCTAGAAAAAATAAAAGGACAGGTGTGAGTTTATGTGACTCCTATCCCTCCTCCTGCCCCTTAGTCTGGGCTGCTCACCATGCTGGCTGTGCCATCACCTTTGGGAGCCTGTGTGGACAGTGGTGGTGGACAACAAACATCCTCCAGTCCCCATCTCTCTTCCTCTTGGCATCTTGGTGTCCCCTCCAGTGAAAAAGGGGAGGGGAAAACGTAGATTTCATTGGTACCATCACGTAGCCATGCAGAGGGCTGTTAGGGGGTTTCCACGTAAGCCTTACTTTCTCAGGTGGTGGGAGCTGTTTTTGGTTTAGCAGGTGTCTTCACTCACCTCTTTCCATCCCAGTTTCTGCCTGGGGCTGTGGTTTCTGACCACACCCCCTTAGTTTTCCTACTGAACACTCTCCTTTCGTTGGCATGAAATTCAGTTATTACAAGAATGTTGGTGCTGTAAAGGGGTGGACCCTGTTGTTACTGGTTCTCAGCAGATGGAAGACTATCTGAAGGACAGCAATTTGTTCTCTGCACAGTGCATTTAGCAGGACTTTAAACTTGAGAGGGGGTTCAGCTCAGGACGAGAGGGAATTTGCTGGGCACATAAAGTGGGGGATTGTCCATTCTCTTGGAGCTGTACCCCTGGAACACAGCATGTGCTGATACTTTTGACCAGTACAACTTGCGAAGTGATGCTATGAATTTAGTATCTATTGAGTTTCAGTTGTTCACCTTTGAATTTATCCAGGGCCCTGTAGATGCCACAGTGAGCAGAAGAGACAGATTTTGATAAATCAGTGCTCTTTATCACTCCATTGAAGATTGTTTCTGCCCAATGCACTAAGTCACCATCCTGAAAGTCTTATTTTTTAGGGCTTTTTCTTTTGAATTTTTAATTGTAAAATACAAATAACAAAATTTACAATTCTAACCATTTTTAATGTACAGTGGTGTTTTTAAATGTTCAGTAATCTTAAGTATATCCCATTGTTGTGCAACCAATCTCCAGAATTTTCTCATCTTTCCAAACTGAAACTCCTTACCATTAGTAATAATTCCTCATTCCCCCATACTGCTGGCCCTGGGACCCACCATCTCACTCACTGTAGAGAGCACATACATGGAACCATACAGCATTTGTCCTTTTGAGTCTGGTTTACTTCCCTCAGTGTAATGTCCTAAGGCTCGTCCGTGATGTAGCATGTGTCAGAATTCTCTCCTCCGTGAAGGCTGAATGATATTTTGTGGTGTGTATGTAATCCATTGTGCTTATCCATTCATTCTTTCTAAAATAAAATATTTTTACTGATTTTTAGAGAGAAAGGAAGGAAGAGAGAGAAACATTGATGTGAGAGGGTAACATTGATTCGCTGCCCCTTGCAGGCTCCCCACTGGGAATTGACCTCACAACCCTGGCATTCCTGACTAGGAATCTAACCAGCAACCTTTTGGTGTATGGGACGATGCCCAACCAACTGGGCCACACCGGCAAGGTCATTTCATTCTTTGATGGACACTTAGGTTGCTTCCACCTTCTGGCCACTGTGAATAATGTTGCTATGAATATAGGTGTATTTATTTATTTATTTTTTTAGGTAATCATAGATTCACCTCAGATGTAAGAAATAACAAATACAATACAATGTCATAAGCAGCATACTGACAATAATACACACAGGATACAGAACATTTGCTTTCAGAAGCATCCTTCCTATTGCCTTTTTCGGTCATACCCACTGCTCTCACTCTAGCCTCTCATTGGTCTCTGATAACCATCTGATAGTGTTGTTTAAGAACATTAAGTAGGTGGGTTCATACAGCATTAGTATGTCACATTTGGGTATGGACTTCTTAAAAAATTTATTGTGGTGACACTGGTTAACAATTATCCAGGTTTCAGGTGCACAGCTCTACAACACATCATCTGTACACTGTTATTGTGTGTTCATCACCCCAAGTCAAGTCTCCATTTATCCCTCCTAAAACCTACTCCCTTTCCTCTAGTCCCCGTCCCCTCTTCAGTATACACTATTGTCGCTGTCCATAAGTTTCTTCGTTTGTCTCCTTTTTCTTTTTAAATATATTTTATTGATTTTTTACAGAGAGGAAGGGAGAGGGATACAGAGTTAGAAACATCAATGAGAGAGAAACATCGATTAGCTGCTTCCTGCACACCTCCTATTGGGGATATGCCCGCAACAAAGGTACCTGCCCTTGATCGGAATCGAACCTGGGTCCCTTCAGTCCACAGACCGAGACTCTATCCACTGAGTCAAACCAATTAGGGCCTCTGTTTTTTTTGTGTTTTTTTCTGCTCAATCCCTCCACCTAATATTCAGACACCCACCCCAAACACTGCCCCCTGCTGTCAGTCGGCTCTCTATCTGTAAGTCTGTCTCTGTTTTGCTTGTTAGTTCATTTTGTTCATTAGATTCCACATATGAGTGAAATCATATGGTACTTGTCTTTCTCTCATTGGCATATTTCACTTAGCATAATGTTCTTCAGGCCCATCTATGCTGTCGCAAAGGGTAAGATTTCCCTTTTTGTTTTGTTTTGTTTTGTTTACAGCCAAGTAGTATTCTATCGTGTAAATGTACCACAGCTCTTTTTATCCACCCATCTACTGATGGATAGTTGGGCTGCTTTAAATCTTGGCTATTGTAAATAACACTGCAATGAACATAGGGGTACAAATATTCTTTCGAATTAGTGCAGTGGTTCTCAACCTTCTGGCCCTTTAAATACAATTCCTCATGTTGTGACCCAACCATAAAATTATTTTCGTTGTTACTTCATAACTGTAATGTTGCTACTGTTATGAATCATAATGTAAATATCTGATATGCAGGATGGTCTTAGGCGACCCCTGTGAAAGGGTTGTTTGACCACCAAATGGGTCATAACCCACAGGTTGAGAACCACTGAATTAGTGTGCCGTGTTTTTTCTAATAAATTCCCAGAAATAGTGGAATCACTGGGTCATAGGCAGTTCCATTTTTAATTTTTGAGGTAGCTCCATAATGTTTTCCATAGTGGCTGCACCAGTCTGCATTCCTACCAACAGTGCACATCCTCGCCAACACTTGTTGATTTATTTATGCTAGCTGTTCAGACAGGCATGATATGATATCTCATTGTGGTTTTAATTTGCATTTCTCTGATGATGACTGACATTGAACATCTTTTCTTATGTATATTGGCCATCTGTGTGTCCTCTTTGGAAAAGTGTCTGTTCAGGTCTTTTGCCCATTTTTTAATTGAATTGTTTGGTTTTCTGGTGTTCAGTTTTATAAGTTCTTTATACATTTGGGATATAAACCCCTTAGCAGATGTATTGGTGAATATTTTTTACCATTCAGTGGGTTGTCTTTTCATTTTGTTGATGGTTGCCTTTGCTGTGCAAAAAATTTTTGGTTTGATATAGTCCCATTTGTTTACTTCTCTTTTGTTTTTGTTTCCCGAGGAGACATATCAGAGAAAATATTGTTGTGAGAAATGTCCGAGATTTTACTACCTATGTTTTCTTGTAGGATTATTATGGTTTCAAGTTTAACATTTAAGTCTTTGATCCATTTTGAGTTTATCCTTGTGTGTGGTGTAAGAAGTTGTTTTGGTTTTATTTTTTTGCACATAACTGTGTCCAGTATTTCCAACACCATTTATTGAATAGACTATCTTTAGTCCATTGTATGTTTTTGCCTCCTTTGTCAAACATTTTAAAAAAATATATTTTTATTGACTTCAGAGAGGAAGCAGGGGGTCGAGGGGGCGGGGAGAGAGAGAGAAACATCAATGATGAAAGAGAATCATTGATCAGCTGCCTCCTACACACCCCTCACTGGGGATCGACCCACAGCCCAGTCGATGCTCAACCACTGAACCACGCCAGCTGGGCTCCTTTGTCAAATATTAATTGACCCAAAGGTGTGGGTTTATTTTGGGGATCTCTATTCTATTCCATTGATTTATATGTCTATTTTTGTGCCATTACCATGCTGTTTTGATTACTATGGCCTTGTAATATAGTTTGATATCAGGTAGTGTGATTCCTCCAGCTTTGTTCTTTTTTTCTCAAGATTGCTATTGCTATTTGGGGTCTTTTGTGGTTCCATATAAATTTTTGGAATATTCTAGTACTGTAAAATGCGCCATTGATATATTGGTAAGAATTACATTGAATCTATAGGTTGCTTTGGGTAGTATGGACATTTTAATTATATGTTACTTCTTCCTATCCATGAACATGGTATGGTATATGCTTCTACTTATTTGTATCTTCAGTTTCTTTCTTCAGTGTCTTATATCTTCCGAGTACAGGTCTTTTACTTCTTTGGTTAATATTATTTCTGGGTATTTAAATTTTTTTTTAAGTGGTTGTGAGTGATATTTTTTTCTTAGTTGTCCTTTCTGATAGTTTATTATTCTTTTTTTTTCTGTTCATTAGATTATTTATTCCCTTGATTTTTAGATTCACTTGTTGATAGATGTGTATTTGTTGTTCATAATTTGTATCTTTACCTTTTTCTTCTTCCTCTTCTTAAAGGATACCTTTCAGCATTTCATATAATCCTGGTTTGGTGGTGATGAACTCCTTTAGCTTTTTCTTATCTGTGAAGCTCTTTATCTGACCTTCAATTCTGAATGATAGCTTTGCTGGGTAAAGTAATCTTGGTTGTAGGTTCTTGCTATTCATCACTTTGAATATTTCTTGCCACTCCCGTCTGGCCTGCATAGTTTCTGTTGAGAAATCAGCTGACAGTCATATGGGTACTCCCTTGTAGGTAACTGGCTGTTTTTCTCTTGCTGCTTTTAAGATTCTCTCTTTGTCTTTTGCTCTTGGCATTTTAATCATGATGTGTCTTGGCATGGTCCTCTTTGGATTCCTTTT